AGGAAGGCTGGTAAACAGTCATATGAACAAGTAAATTTCATGTAGAAATTATGAAAATGAAGAAGTCTACAGTCTGTTAGAAACAAAGGTAAAACAGCAAGCATCAAATTATCAGTTTCCAGCAGCTAGATCTCAGATACCATGGCCCTCAAAGGCAGCAGAAGGACCTTTCTGCTAAGTCTGCCCCATTGAATAAGTGTCTGCCTCTTCCACTTGGCTTTGTCAATGCTGAGAAAGTTGTCATGGAGGTTTCAGGCATTCAAGAGAACAACCTACCCAGCAGACAGCCTCTTCTTTCTCTTACAGTTGATCAACAAGGAAGAAGAACTGTTGGAGAAGGAGAAGAGTTCCTTCCCTCTCCTGCAAACCCTGATGATCAACAAAGTGCCCTATGAGCAGCTGTGGGTAACAGCCTATGAGTTCAGCACCAAGTCGGAGGAGTGGATGAATGGTATGGCAAGTTCTAACCCTGCCCTTGGGGGTGTGGGGGTGAGGGGGTGAAGGGAGTGTAAGTGGGGATGCTGGTCCACCCAGCCATCTCAGTTCTAACCCTGCCCTTGGGGGTGTGGGGGTGAGGGGGTGAAGGGAGTGGAAGTGGGGATTCGGGTCCACCCAGCCATCTATGAAATCACATTTGATCTTTGGATTCCAACACTCGGGGTTAAGACAGCCACACTTTATGTTTTCTGATGTAATAACATAGGGAGACAAGGAACCAAAGAGTAAGAGACCTATATTCAGGTTTAAATCCCATCAGCACCCAGAGCCTTTGTCCTGGTGATGATTCCAAGGAGAGAGATTGAGAACAGATCGTCTGAGTTTCTCCGTCATCTAGAAACTACCCTTCACTCTAGGCTTTGGAGTATAGGGAAGCAATGTGTGTGGATAGACTCAACAGAAAATAGTAGACAAGCAAGGCAAAGAGAATCAAGGAAAAACCCTGAGTGGCTTTCAGATTTTTGGTTCCAGAAGTTCGGTAGGTCTTGTCTTTTTGAACAGAGAGCCAACAAATTTTCTAGAAGAAAAACTCCTTCAACTTGAATACACTATAGCCACCCACATAGGAATATTAGTTATTCACTATGGATTATATTATATTACAATATAATATATTGTATACATTATATATACAATTAAAATATATTAAACTATTTTAGTTATTTACATATAATTTATATTAGATTATATGATAACTAATATGTAGTAAATATGTAATTTACATATTATTGTATTAGGCTGTACTACAATATATTATTATATCAGTATGAATTTTAGGAGATTGGCTTGGAAAGGGTGATTTATTGGGAAACAGTTGATTTTTATTAAGGCCCTGGAGGCCATCTCTACTCAGGGTATTAGAAGGACAAAACCAGAGATCTAGACACTCATTCTAGGGCTTCATTACGGTAAACTCAGTGGTATGAACATCTTTACTGGGGCTCTCTGGACAATTATGATTGTTCTCTTTTTGAAAACATCTTTTATCATTCTTTGACAGTTTCATATATGTGTGTAGTGTGTTTTGGTCGGAATCACTCTTATTCTCCTCTACTACTGTTTTCTTAAGGTGGATTCCTAAGTAGAAAATGTCTAAGATCCAAGAGGCATGTTGTGAAAATTAATAAGGTTTTAAAAATGACTCTTGTGGTGGAAAACCTGACTTTCATTATTTTCTTTCAGAACAGTGATGTTTTAATTCCTTCTTCTAGCAGCTTTTGAGTGTCCATTTCTTACTCTCTACAAACCTAAAGATGACAACTTTGAAAGCTGTGTTTGATGATTAGATGTTTAAAGTATTACCTCACTTTCATCTTTAAAAAAATAACAGAAAAACATTTTTTCCTGTTTGTCATTGAAGTTGAGTGTGTACTGAGAAGCAGACTTCCTTGTGCTATGGTCACTGGAAGCTCTCCTGGATGAAGTCATCCTCTGGACCACACTCTGTACCCCTTGGTCTGAGTCACTGCCTAAGAGAAGAGGCTCACTTGTGTGGTTGAGAGAGAACAGTGACTTTGTATCTAAGCCTAAAATTCATCCTGCTGATAAAGTCACCATTAATTCCATCAACCTGCCAGGCAGGAGCCTCTTCTCATCCCGGAAGCGGCTCCTGTTCTAACTGTTCTGCCAGCCCCTGTATTTTCTTTTAAGATTTAATTTTTAGTGATTTGACAAAAACACTGAGTTGTTGAGACATGTTCAATGAGTGGAGTTGCATTTGGTCTAGGTAGCCCTGGGGAGTTGGAAGGTGTTTATGAGTCAGTTAGCTATAGCATAATGCAGGAAGCAATGCTAATCTAGAATGTTCCAACAGGAAGTAAAGCATTACCATGGGGACATGGGGATATTTGGGCTGAATGTGAAAGCCAATACAGAGAGAGAGAGAGAGAGAGAGAGAGAGAGAGAGGAGAGAGGAGGAGAGTGGAGGAGAGGAGAGGAGGAGGAGAGAGGAAAGAAACTAATGTTTTTAAATACTTTAAAAACTGAAGTGTCATTCATTTAAAATGTGGGGGAGGAGCATCTCACTGAGCCCGGAGTTACCCCATCTTGACTAGACTGGCTGTCCAGAGAGCCCCCACAATCTACCTGTCTCCCCCATCTCACTGTTGAGGTTAGTCACACAACATTTCCCCCAGCTTGGTTGGTTGGTTTGTTTGTTTGTTTGTTTGTTTTAACATGGTGCTGGAGATCCAAACTCGGGCCCTTACTTTTTTAGTCTCTGAGCTTGTACTCTTTGTATTTCTTTTTCTTTCTTTCTTTCTTTTTTTCTTTCTTTCTTCCTTTCTCTTTCCTTCCTTGTTTAATAATTTCAAACTTCTATTAATTATAATATTATATTCTCAGAACTCTAGAGGGCTCCCATTCCTGAACTGTTATTTTACAACACATTGAAATCCTTTTAATACTACTAATATGGCTCTTAAAACTAATTGGAATGACTAAGTCCCTGAGTGTGCAAACATTATAGGCCCAGCGTGAAATTTGCAGTTCTGTTTATACTGTCTCACATTGATTCCAGTCACCCTTCCAGGAGTCTGTTCTTACCGTGAATGGTGCTAGGTGATAGTGTGGAGGCCTGGACAAGGCTCTACTAGCCAAGCAGAGACTTCAATTCAGATCCAGACCCAACCTCAGAGTCTTAAGTTCATTTCATCACAACTGGCACCGTTCTCAAGTCCAAGGACTTAACACATGACAAAAATCTCCATCATAGTCTGAACTGCTCTTTGTTCCAGGCCCCCTGTTTTTATTGAATGCTGAGGAAATTGCAGAGGAAATTGCGAATATGTGGAGGACGACGTACAAGTTGACCAAGACCTTGATTGATGTGCCTGCTCCCAGGCGCTTAGCAGAGAACGTCAAGTTGAAGATTGAAAAGTTCAAGCAACACATACCCATCCTCAACATCGCGTGCAACCCCGGCATGAAGGATCGGCACTGGCAGCAGGTTCTTGTAACCCCTGGTGTGGTCCAGCCTGCCCCATCCTGGGTGTTATGATAAAGCTTGTGGGGGTCCTTGTGTGGGGGTCCTTCGCGGATTCCATGGCAGGCGAGGATGACTGAGGTGGGGGGACAAGTATGTCAGGCAGACAGAGCTTAAGTGAGAAGTTTTATTAGAAGGGGAAGGGAGGGGGAAGGAAAGAGAAAAGAGGTAAAGAGACACAGAGAGAGGACAGAAGACAAGAAGGAGACTGGTAAAATCCTGACTGCCCAGGGGAACAGCAGGAAGGAGCGCGGGAAAGAGAGGAGCAGGGAAAGAGAGGGTAAGTGGGTGGGATCTTTCTTTTAAAGGGCTCCTTTGCACCTACCTATAGACTATGCAACCTTGAAACTCTGGGCTGACCAGGGTACGCCGGAGTGCATTCTGCCAGGGGCAGGCCAGCATAATGCCTGAATCCTTAGACTGGGGACCCTGGAAAAGCAAGAAAAGAAAATCTACTTTAGGCCAAGGAGGCATGCTAGTCTTCTGGAAGGGGATTGGTAGGGTTATGGGATGAACTTCCTGTCTCACTATCAGGTTGATCCTTTTTGCTGGGGCCCCACTGCTGGTGGGTAAATATTCTAGAGAGAGGTTACAGTCACAATGAGGAAGCTTTGATCTGCTCCTCCACGCACAAAAAGAAAGCCCCCCCTTTCTCTGGGGCCTTGCAAATGATCCCAGATGATTCCTGTGCAGGCTATTTTTGGTGTAGAGTTTCCTGGCCAAACAGGCTAGGTTTAGAAAGAGTTTGGCACATTGGATGTGGTGGCACCTTCTCATAGTCCCAGCATTTGAGAAGCTGAGACAGGCTACATGGTAGATTCCAGGCTAGCCTGGGCTACAGAATGTCTCAAACAAATAGACAAAGAAGTGAGTTGCACTCTTTAAGTTCTTTAAGCCTGTAAACTAGAGCAATAATTATTCTTCCTAAAAATAGTTAGGGTTTTTATAAGCAGCAAAGTGTGAGGGTGATAAGTGTGGTGTGATCACTAGGCACAAAAAGGAAGGCTTCCTGTGTTTCTAAAGTAAACGTCACATTCAAATGGCCTTAAAATGCCCTCTACTCAGCAGCTGCTATGTGGAGTGGCAAGGTGGTCAGCTTGACATGGGAAGATTCCTCTCTAAGAACTATGCATGAGATTGAGGTCATGAATCTCTGGAAGGAGCCAGTCTCTCAACACACATCACATTAAGTGAACCCCTGAGCCCGTTATGAAGAGCATATTAATCTCCACAGAAAGATGGGGGTCTTAATACATGAGTGGTTCAAGGTCTTTCTGCAGGGAGGAGCAATCTTCAGTTTTATGGTCAAGCAGGAGACTCAGGACCCCAGCAAGGGTTGGGATGCTGTGCAGGATGGCAGGCGATAGGTCATCACATGGGTGTCTACCTTAAAGGGAATCTGCAAAGGGTTTCTGGCCTTAGGGATGCTCGTGGGGCTTCTATCCCGATGGATGTAGATGACCTAGGCCTTTGACCTATGTGGGGAGCTAAGAATATTGTATGAACAGGTGACTTGTTATAGTGCCAGATTTCTCCTCGAGATGGCACTATTCAAAGTGTTCTCATCAACATTTAAAGAATGTTGGTGTATTGAAGAATGTTGGGCCAAGGGTGTAACTTAGTTGTAGAGTTTAGCTTGCCTAATATGCACAAACTTCTAAATTTGAGCTCCAGCTCAATTTCCAACATTTTTAAAATGCACTCCAGGGTGCACTTCTCTCTGGTGCTTCCTCTGTCAGCATGCTGTCCTCATGTGTAAGCACTAGTCCCCGTCCCTAGGCATTCTTAGTTCCCATCATCCTTAAGCCTTTCCAGAGGCCACTTAGACAAATATTCCCTAGACTTACAACCCAGAAGTGAGCTCAGCTCACTGCTGGAAGTGTAAGCTCCCAGACATTGTGTTGCACATTTTATTTGAATTCTCCCATTTCATCTTCACCAACTCTTTGAAACAGGGACTGTTATTGTCTCTAGTTCACTGGTAGAAAAACTGAGAATTGAAAATATTGAGTCTTCATATAGCTAGTTAGTGGACCAGGAGGGAGTTGGAATCCAGGTCTGTTTGGCTTAAGTAAAATAGTACCAAGAGGGCACTGAAGGGTGAGGATAGAAACAGGCAGAAGGGACAGTGGATCAAAACTAACAGTGAGATGTAGCCCTAGAAAAGAAGGAATGAGTCTCTAAAATGGGTATCCAATAGGATGAGCAGGTAAGAAAGGATATGGGTCACCAGGTATATGAGGGGCTGTCCCCACTTAGGGGCCCACACCTGTGACAGCCCCATGCCTGTCAAAACTACAATCTGCTCTAATGTCTCCCCTCAGAAGACCCATTTACAAAGATTCTGGTTCTGGCAAAAAGGCTCTAGCAAGTAAGCCACCTTGAGGACAGTATAAGCCACCTGTTATCTCTCAAGGCCTGAGGACACGTCTTCTGGGGTTCTCAGGCAGCTGGGATGTGGTTTCTGGCCATTTGAACTTAACACAGCAAAAACTACTGCCTTGTGTTTGGGTCATAGACTTTACAGATACCAATAAGGTATTGCTGTTTGGGTCTTTGAAATCAGTAGTGTGAAGTATTTAATACAATATTCAGAACACATCTCAATTCAGATGAGCCATGTTTGAGAAGCTTAGAGACCATAAGGGACTAGTGTCTATATAGAAAGCACTGTCCCAGGATCTTAAGATTAGAGAACAAATGCCTTGTCAATATTTATGTTTAAAAAATAATGAAAACATCCTGCCAATCTCCAAGTCCTCACTGTGAGCCGATCACTATGCTGAATGCTTATGTAAGTGTACTTTATTCCCAGAGGTAGTCCATGTGCTGCTGCATTTAATGTATAAAAGAACAAATGGGGCCAACAAGATGGGTCAGCAGGTAAAGGAGCTTGTCACCAAGCCTGAAAGCCTAAGTTTGATCCTCAGGACCCATATGTCAGAAGGAGAGAGCCAATTCCTGCAAACTGTCCTTTGACCTCCACATGTGTGCTATGATATCCAAGTGCATGTAACACACACACACACACACACACACACACACACACACACACACACACACAAATAAGTAGATAGTAGGTATTTTTTCAATAAGTGAAAGGTCAAGGCTACCAGGAACACTTGTGCGAATTGTGCACTGTAAAATTCTACCCAATGCTACCTTTGTCCAGAGCTGTTCAGTGTATGGCACAGACAATTGTATATACGGGATCTGTAGAAACATTAGAGTTTGGTGAATAGCATTTATTGGAATCAGAATTGGATCCAAATCCCAATCTGCTATTTAACTGGATGATCTTAGACAAGATAATTTTTCCAGCTCAGATTCTTTACATGTAAAGTGGGAATAACACATTAGCACTCTTTTCATGGTGCTAGGAGACTAAAACAAGTCTGTGAAACTCTTGAAACAATACTGTTCACTGAACAATAAATGTTCATTATTTTTAGTTTATTACCATACTGGTCCTCCAGAGGTCCCCAGAACCCAGATTGGAAACCATTCGAGTTCTCTGATTTAATAAGGCTTTTCCTCCATCAATACTGGTGTCTACCAAATGTTAGGTGCCAAGGACACAGGGTAAGACAGAGTGTGACACGGCATCCATACTCCTTTCTGCTCTGCTGTTTTCTAGTCCTCTGGCAGCCAAACAGAGGTAACACCTAGCAACAGATTTTTTTTTTCCATTCAGACACTCATTCCTGCTTCAGTCCTCATCTCTTCTTTAGCAAGGGGGACCCTAGTGCTACCCAGCTCTTCCAGGAGCTTCACTGGGAGCTTCCGTAGGGGTGTGTACTGAAGAGGTGAGCCTGAGGGAGTATCACACCAATGGGGTGGGCATCCTGACAAGTAGCCCCCCCTAGAGTGGATGGAGGGGTTTCATTATCCTGTTGTGTTTTGAGCAGCACAGGTATGTGCTGTGCCATCAATCACCTTTCACTTTTAATTTTGAGATGGGGTCTCACTAAGCTGACCAAGCTAGTCTTGAACTCACTCTGTAGCCTAGGTGGGGCTAGAAATTATGATTCTCCTTCCTCAGACTGCTGAGTAGCCAGGATCACAAGCCAGTATGAGGGCTCTTTTAAAGGGGAATCCTTACTATTCCTCAGCTCAGAGTACTGGGGAGTGGCTAACAGATCCTCCAGCCTCACTCAGCAAATACTCACTACAGCTTGACAGGGACCCAGCTTTCCATGGTCCCCCAAAGCACAACCGCGTCTCGGTTCTGGTCTTTGGGTGCTCACAAATTGATGGGAGACAAACTTGGGAGCACCAGACACAGTGTGACTCTGTAATGACCTCTAGAACCCACAATGTCAGACTCAACAACCACCAGTCCCAGGAGGTCATTTAATTGAGTATGAGTTAGTTAAAACTAATCGAACACACAAATTCAGTTCATTACTCACATTAGCCCTAGTTTTAGTGCTCAACAGCCTCCTGGAACTAGTGTCTGCAATACTGGGCAGGGCAGATAACGAAATTTTCCATCCTTATAGAGGTTCTTCTGGATGGTGCTACCTTCCACAACCAGCCCTTATCTCCATCCTTCCTTTGCAGATCAGTGATATTGTTGGCTATGAGATAAAGCCCACGGAGACAACGTGCCTGGCAAACATGATCGAGTTTGGATTTGGCAAATTTGTTGATAAGTAAGGTCATCCCTTGTTCTATATCTTGGTTCAGGGGTCACTGTGAGCTCCTAAGTCATGATGAATTAAGACGATTAATGACCCCACTCGGGGCTGACTTACCCAAGTGGCTATCTCTTTTTGTGCTGTAGAGTTGGGACTAGAAAGAGTGAGGGGTTTTATTTCAAGGAGAAACTAAAAACAAATGTTTTTGTGAACCTGAGAATCTACTCAACTCTTAGAACTAGGAGCAAACCCACTCAGGCTTTATGGGCCTGTTTCCTCTTAAAATAAAAAGCAAACTAGGAGTGACCCTCCAACTGCTAAAACCCATAAAGCACGCACGCACTGTGATGATGATCTTTGTTTCCTCCCTCCCCGAGTGCCCTGGAATTGTAGGGTAGGAAGTAGTATTATCTGAATGGCTATGTTTATTTCTACTTGTTGGGAGGGGTGAGCATATTTGTAGGTGTGTTTATGAGTTGTTGGGATACAGATGTGAGGGGGGATGTGGATGCATGTGTCTATGTGCAAGTAGAGGCCAGATGTCAACTTTTGTTGTCATTCCTTAGGAGCCAAGTAGGTTAACCAGTCAGGCCAATGAGCCTAAGGGATCTTCTAGTCTCTGCATCTTCAGTGCTGGGATTATAAGAGTGTGCCTCCTCTCATCACAAGATTTTTTACCTGGGTGTTGGGGATCTAACTAAGGTCTCCATGCTTGGTTGGCAAGCACATCACTACTGAGCCATCTTTTACCCCCTCAAATACTGTTTTTAAGATCAGTGATATTCAGAATTCTATTTGTTTTAATACTTCCTTTAAATCAAAAGATGGAGAGATTTTTATATTACTTCAACTTAAGTCTGTTAGACAACTTGGATGGAACTACAAGGATACTCATGGTTCTTGGGGTTTGGCAACTAGAGCTACTGCATCTCCATTATAGGGGATCTAGTTAGAAAACCATGTTCTCAGGCCCCACCCAAACTGATGGTCAAATTGTGGGGACAGGCCTGGCTATCTGTTTTTTGTTTGTTTGTTTTGTTTTGTTTTGTTTTGTTTTTTGTAATCCTCTAGGTTAGTGCTGCCCAAGGCAGGAACCAAGCTAAATGCCACTACTGAGCCCTTGGCATGTAGCTAGTCTAGATCCAGTGTACTGGAGCTTGCACATGCAGGTTGGATTTCAAAAACTTCTCAAGAAAATAATGCTGACAATTTTGTTTTGAGACAATCTCACTTTTTAGTTGTGACTGGCATTGAACTTGTTGTGTAGACCAGGCTGACTGCCAACTCATAAAAATCTGCCTGCCTCTGCCTTCTAAGTGCTAGGATTAATGGTGTGCAAAAGCACACCCAGCAAGATGACTATTTTAACACTCATTTTTCAAGATGATTATATTTTGAGTGGAGTAAGTTATTACCAATGATTTCATCTCTTGCTTTTTTTTTCTTTTCTTTTTTTTTTTTTTTTGGTTTTTTGAGACAGGGTTTCTCTGTGGCTTTGGAGGCTGTCCTGGAACTAGCTCTTGTAGACCAGGCTGGTCTTGAACTCACAGAGATCTGCCTGCCTCTGCCTCCCAAGTGCTGGGATTAAAGGCATGCGCCACCAACGCCCAGCCTTCTTGCTTTTCTTCTAATGTAACTAACAAACTTTTAAATCATATATGTGGTTCACATTCTAACTGGCAATGAGATGATGAAGTCAAGGACGGTGCTGAACATTCTCCCACACATAAAGCAGCAGCCTCCTGTGGCAAAGAAGTATCTAACGTTGGATGGTTCCCTTCCTTACCTACCAGAAGGGTCACATTCCATAACTGGATAGGTTAACAAAAGAAAAGCATAATAAACGTATTTAACCAAAGTTCCATATCATGGGAACCTTCTTAAATGAAGACCCACATTCCCAGAGAAAAACCAGTTTTATGCTTAAAGTGCTTAAAAATAGATGGCTATATAGAGATATGATTGGACAAAGGGATCTTGAGCTAATGGAAACAGACTAGGAGAGGGAAAGCCTTCATGCTTAAATGCTTAAATTCTCCATGCCTTCTCTGAGGCAGCGTTAATTTCTTCATCCTGGATATAGAGCAGGAACTTTCTGGAAGGAGAGTATTATGAGCTGCTCTTAGACAGGTCATCACATTTTTTTCTGTACACCTCCTGTTCAGGGAGGTAAAGGAAGGTTCCTTGAGAAGGAAGAAGTTGGAGTTCTATGACTTGTTTTAGGGAAGGAAGATGGAGAATGGGAGGAGTTCAGAGAAAGCCTGAATTTCAGAATCTTTGGGTACCTTCTGTTCACCATTTTTTCAATGTCCTTGGCATGACAAAGCACCATGCTTTGGGATACTGCTTTCTAAGGCTTATCAGCCTGTGCTAATTTGTTAGAGCTACTATTACAAAGCACCACAGGCTGGGTGACTTAAGCAATAGAAATTTATTTTTCATAATCTTGGAGTCTTGAAGTTCACAACTATGAGCTAGTCTCCTCAAAGGCCTCTCTCATTGGCATATAGATGGCCATCTTTTCCTTGTGTCTTCACATGGTCTTCTATTTCTATGTGACTGCCATCAACTCTTCTTATAAGGACACCAGTCATGCTGGATTAGGCTCAGCCTTCATGGCCTCATTTTAGTATAATCACCTCATTAAAAACTTAAAATATAGTTACATTTTGAGTGATTTGGATTAGAACTTCAATGTGAATTTTGGAGAAAAGCTCAACTTATAACAGCCCCAAAAGACAACAGTATTCAGAACAGGAAACACATTGGGAAAAGTTGGCAAACCTTAGAGAAAACATTTTGTTGGAATTAAAGCTTTTGGAAATCTCTTAAGACTGAGCTGGAATTCCTCCTTGGGTGTTTCCTCTGCTGTCTTCTGTTGATGTTGCTGCTTACATGTTCTCTCCTCAGGCTGGAGCCCATTGGTGCAGCTGCCAGCAAGGAATATTCTCTGGAGAAAAACTTGGAGAAGATGAAGTCAGACTGGGTCAACATGACTTTCAGTTTTGTGAAATACAGGGACACTGTGAGTCAATCCAATGGGAACTCCCCGAAAGCAGCCCTGTGTGTTATGTAGTTGATACAGACATAATTCACCCAGCATTGCAACAGACCTCACAGAAGAATAACCCTCTGTATGTGCACTGCCTCTGTCTACCTGTGCCCCATCATCCTTGCTCTCAGACTGCACTGGAGCTGTGCATCTTGAAATCAAAAGGTTTTTAGACCCAGTGCAAAGGAATGGAGCAAGTCTCCTGAATTAGCATGTCTTAAGAAGAACACAGGCCTGTATAACTGTGTGTATGTGTGTGTGTGTGCGCGCGCGCACACACACACACACACACACACACACACCAAGTCCTTCAGAAGCATATCTGAGGTTGACAACAACACATCTTACTTCCTAAATGCTAACATGTACAGGAAATTCCACAATCTCTTTAAACTGATTCGTGGAGACTAGACTGGTTCTGCAGGACTAACAAGTTCCCAGACACATCAGTTTATATTTATAAAAATATAAATGTCCTTATTTTCATGGATACGTACAGATCGCATATGAGTTTGTGCAACAAATGTGGAGGTACATTTGCTTCCATAACCCCAGGGTCTAGTTTGCTCCTGTGGTGAAGCATAGTGTAGATATGGGGGCTGCTGCCCAGTACATTGTGGAGGGCGCATATTCACATATTGCTTCCCATTGGCACCTAGAACAACATCTCAAATGCTAACTGCACAGTAGAATCATTTAGGATACTTAAAGAAGATAATCACAATTGATTCATTTTCCTGTTCTTCTACCTTTAGACGCCTGAGCATCTACATTTACCCTCCTAGTTTTCTTTTCCGTAGTGCTGGAGATTGAAATTGAAACCTTATTCTTGTTGGGAAAGCACTCTACCACACAACCACACCTTCCATACTCCATTTTTCAATTATTCAACATAGACCAAAACCCTGGAGATCTGAGCACTTCCCTTCTCTCTGATCAACATATCATCCTGTGACTTCATTCTCCCTTTGATTTTGATGGTCACAATGCTTTGGTTTCTTCCTTGGATAAGAACCTTCTATGAGACAATTGGAGACAGGAGAACTGGAGGCAAATGAATTCATTACTGGGTCTCTCCCAACAAGGCCAGGTCTCATGGGCTCCTTAAGTTTGGAGCTGCATGTTCTGATTGAGTGAGACACTGCTCTAGAGGCTGCTGGGCTGTAAGGAAGAGGCCAGCCATGGACCTATGAGCAGGTTCATTATTCCTGATCCATCTTCAAAGGTTATTAACCAAAGTAGCTATCAACAAAATGACAGTGAAGATGCCAGTCTGTGAATAGCTAGACATGCTTTCCAGACACACTGAGAAAAGATAGAAGAATATATCCTAAGCCAGATTTAGTTCATATCTACAATTACATCATCCATATCTGCATCTACATCTATGTCTACAGGCTTGAAGGAAGTGAAATCAAATCAAGCAAAACCAGACTTGCTGTAGGTGGCAGACTCTTAGCAGTCTATCTGCCACAATGGCCCAGGGGAAATGGTGCGGTCCTTAGAAACTGAATCTGAAGACACAATACCCTTAGATGATAGCAAAATAGAACTCACTAAATGTATGAGATAGAAGTTTCCAGGTTGGGATTACATGTCTATGTACTTTTATCACGGGACCACTATACTCAAAACAAACAAGCAAAGCTTTATTTATAAGGGGATTAAATGTAATTAACTTAATAAGTGGAACCTATCTGTTAGCAGACATTTAAAAAGAACTCATGAAATAAAAAGTAATCTTTGAAGTTCATTTTTAAATTACTATAAGAACCCCTATGATTGGCTGCAGTACATGAATCTAGGTATTACCCAGTGATTGGAAGCTGATGCTCCCTGAGGGAACCAGGAAAGCAAATGGCCATTGAGGCAGACAATTGGGGAAGAAGACTGTCTTTTCCCCAACTGTAGGTGCAGGTCTGAGTTAGGTTGATTCCTGAAAATGAGTCAAACAGTAAATGTTTCTTTGGTTTTGTTTCATTTTGTTTGTTGAGACAGGATTTTATAAAGTAGTCCAGGCTTGCCTCCAATTCATTGTGTACCTTCAGCTTCAGCCTTCAGAGTTCTGGGATAACAGGCATTGTCCTCTGCTCCTGCCTGACAATAAGTATTTTTAATAATCAATGAGATTCAGGTGTACTTTGTGCTTCGGGGGCTGAAGTAGGAACATCTGTATTGAGAACCTGTCTCAAATATTTTATGGTGAGAAAATCTTGTGAGATGTAGATGCCTATCTCTGTGGGGTGGGACTATATACTGTGAGGCCTTCTGGAATCAGCATGGATAATGGGATAGATGAAGTAAGTTGGTCTAATGATTTTGACTTTGACTGGGTGGACATCTTTATTGGCAGGATACAAGCATCTTGTGTTCGGTTGATGACATTCAACTGCTACTCGATGATCATGTAATAAAGACCCAGACAATGTGTGGTTCTGTGTTCATCAAGCCAATAGAAGCAGAGTGTCGGGTAAGAAAATAGCCATTGTGAATCTTGTTATGGCCAATTAGATCTCAGTTTCTCAGAGGAGGGGTGGGGTTTCAAGTTCAGTGTAAAAACAAGCTTCCCTTTCCCTGAATGGAAAAATCAAAAGGCGTAATGAACACAAGACTGAGAGCAGTAATGGCATAAGTAAACTCATGACCTGTGGAGCCATTGGAGCAGTCTGCTGAAAGAGTAGATGAGGCTTGAATATGCCAAACAAAAATATACTTGTCAAGTATTTTATGGTATATAGTAATCTAGAATATGAGCCACATGACTCTAGGAGTTTAGCCTCACTTGATCATTGTCTATAGAAGTGGATAGGTTATCGGGTAGGGTATGTCTTAGGGGTAGCACTCAAGGGAAAAAGAAAAAGTGGCATAGACCTCCTGGATCCAAACCTCTGGGTCTGAATTCTGCTTCTGCCTTTACTGTTAGCTGTGTGACCTCAGGAAGCTATTTGAACTATTGGGTTCAGAATCTACATATTTTTATTTTATTTTATTATTATTATTATTAATTTTGTGTGTGTGTGTGTGTGTGTGTGTGTGTGTGTGTGTGTGTGTGTGTAAGAGAGAGAGAGAGAGAGGGAGAGAGAGAGAGAGAGAGAGATGTGGAAACTAGAGGACAGTCTTGGGCAGCAATCATATTGTTTTTGTTTTTGAGACAAGAGCTCTCACCAGTCTGGAGCTTGTCAAGTAGGCTGAGCTGAATGGCCAGCCAATCCCAGATATCTGCCTGTCTCTACCTTGCCCGCACTGGGATGACAAGCATATGTCACTACACCCAGTTTTGTTGTTGCTGTTTGTTTTAACCTGAATTCTGGTATAAAGGAAAGAATTCATATCAATTTAGCTATTTCTCCAACCCATATAGATTTATTAATATCTCATAAGGTGGTTGAATTAAATTGCTTTCATATGGTCATCACACTCCTACACACACACACACACACACACACACACACACACACACACACACATGCCTCCCTGACATCACTCATCAAAGAATAAGCTTTACTATTATTAGCTAACTAAAATATGACCCCACAAGGTGAATGACTCTTTGTCTCATTATATCCATGTTCTCTGAAACAATAACCATATGAGATACATTTCAATAAATATTTGCTAAACAAGTGAATGAGTGAGTCGATGAATCAATGAATCCATCCATCTGTGTGCCCATTCACTGGATGTGTGCTACAGAGTGGCAGATTAATGATTTGATGTGGAATTCTAAATTAACAGAAATGGGAAGAAAAGCTAGTTCGGGTACAGGAAAATTTGGATGCCTGGTTAAAATGCCAAGTCACTTGGCTGTACCTGGAACCAATTTTCAGCTCAGAGGACATCATAGCCCAGATGCCAGAAGAGGGCAGGAAATTTGGCATTGTTGATAATTACTGGAAAACACTCATGGCTCAGGCGGTGAGTTTTATCTCTTACATCTCATCAGCAGGAAATATTATCATGGTGTCTGTGTCCCTTGAAACTACCAAGTAAAATTTAAATTTGACATTTTATATCACTGTTATAATTTATTAAAACTTAAAACATGGAAATATGGAATATGGAAAGGAGAAATTTTGTGAAATCTTACCTTCCTGGAGGTAACTCTTAGCAGTTTACATTATTTGCCTACCATGTCTAATGAGATAGAAGATTTTGTTATAGAGAAATGCAGTAACATTTTCATAGGTTGGGAATCCCTTTAGATTTCAAACAGTGGTGCATACTGATACTCAGTTATTTAATGATATTCTGGCAAATGTGATGACTCAGACATGATCTTAGAAGTCAGAAAATACTTGAGAAGAGCATGATTTCCACTTTCTTTCAACTCTGTTATGAGATGCACAGGCTTGCATGAACTTGAGCTGTGATAATGCAAACGGGATAGATGATAGCGAGCAATACAGTCACCTGGGAGTGTCAAGGAGACCTCCAAAACAGGTGACATTAGAACCAAGCCTTGAGGGATGAGTTACACATGTGTAAGGTATATCTCCTGAGAGGACCTATTTTTCCCTTTTTTGAAAAAAAAATTTAAAAAAAACCTCAAATTGTGACACACGATCAGAGAATTTATTGCAATGGAGAATATCAGCTTGGATTACTTGTAGTCTGGATTTTAGGGGTAAGGGATGGGGGAGGAAGTTATATGACCCCGCCAGTAGAGCTGATTGATTTTATGTTAGTTATCCTTCTTTGGTTGCATGTTATAGAAACCCACTAAGTGTAGACCAAGAAAAATTATTAGGTGACTCATAGAACACAAGGACAGCAGAGTATCCAGGCCTTCCAAAGGGTCAGTAGAAAGCCAAGGAAATCCTCTGGAGCTCACAAGCACTCTATGTATACTATACCCCTTGCCCATACTCCTCTTTCCACTTTGCCCACTTGGGGTTCGCTCAGCAGACTGGCCTGCTCTGCCACAGAGTAGCTGGTAGGAGGTGATCCTTACATGGCCCCAAAGCTCCTTGATCAAGGGTTCATTACAGGCTAGAACAGAATGTCATGGTCTATGTTTTAGATCCCCAAAATGCTCAGATGAAATTGATTTGGTTAGTTTGTGATGCCCAAGATCTACCCAACTAACCATGATTTAAGCAATGCAGTCATGCTGGGTGAGCAGTCACCCCAGGGGACTAGAAATATCAGGAACTGGTTACTTGGGTGGGAACATCACTAGTTGGTGGGTTGGCCATTAATTGATTACCATGACCAATCTCGAAACTTTGAGTACCCATAATGATTCTCTCTCTCACACACACACACTCTTTCTCCCTCCCCTCTTCCCCTCCCTCTCCCCTCTCTCTCTCGAAACTTTGAGTACCCATAATGATTCTCTCTCTCACACACACACACTCTCTCTCCCTCCCCTCTCCCCCTCCCTCTCCCCTCTCTCTCTTCCTGTGCATGTGTATGACCCAGGTGAAAGATACCAGGGTTCTGGCGGCAGCTGATCAGCCAAGAATGACTGAGAAGCTTCAGGAAGCCAACCTTCTGTTGGAAGACATCCAACGGGGGCTGAATAACTACCTGGAGAAGAAGAGGCTTTTTTTCCCCAGGTATCCAGGATTGTTTTTCATTTGGACCTACCCTCTGAGACCATACATAGGTGGAGTTAAATTTTTCATGTTAGATTTGGATTCTATTCCATTCCTGATTGCCTGTTCCCCAAGAGATGGCATCTAGGAATTGACATGCCTCCATGGCCATCATCTAGACTGAAGCAAAATGGACTCTGTGGGAGTTACATCTTCATGTAGGCCACTATATTATTTCATTACATTATTTCTGTCCATTAAAGGGCATAGAGGTCATGATTAAGACCTGGTATTTAGAGCTAAAGAGACCTCTCTTGGGATCCCAGCTTCTTTATTTATTTACTTGAAGATCTTTAGCAAATCTGAGACTCAGGTTCTCCACTATGAAACTGAGATATAATAATACTAATGGCTCTTAGTTCATGGATTTTCTGTGCAGATCAGTGAACAACATGTAAAACAGAAGTGTTTGAGTAATGTTGACTAATTTTTGAGCACTAACTTTTATAGTTCTTGGTACAGTCATTTTTCCCACAAAAGATAATGCTTTGCCTAAGAGTCAATGTGGACTACTTGTGAGGGATCTCATTCCTGAACATCCATCCATGTCAAGTTCACCGTGGCTGGTCACTCAATGCTATTCAACTCAATTAGGACATAAGTTTTCGTGCCTGTAATCTCAGCACTTGGTAGGTGGAGGCAGGACTACAAAGAGTTCAAGGTCATTTTCAGCTACAAAATTGGAGGCCAACTAGGGCTTCATGAGACTCTGCCTTGAAAGACAACAACAAAAAACTATAATGTGGCCTTATATGAAGTTTAGTTCTCTACTCTCTACCAAGAAAAGAAGGTATAGGGTTTTATAGTTAGAATGGTGATGATTTGAGGTCTGTAGCAGAAATTCCTTTGGTATCTATTCAGCACACTGTTCTCCGATGAATGTTTTCCCATTGACCAAAATATTCTTTATTTGTTCTGTCTTGTAAAGTAGCCATTAGCCACTTATGGCCATTATATACTATTTTAAATTTATTTTTATTTTATATGTATGTAGTCCTTACATGCCTGGTGCCCAAGGAGTCCAGGATTGGGTATCAGATCCCCTAGTACAGTTGTGAGTTTCCATGTGGGTACTGGAAATTGGATTGAATTTGGAAGAGCAGCAAATGCTCTTAACTGCTGGCCGTCTCTCCAGACCACCACTATACATTTTAAAGTGTCTCAGAAAGTGAAGTTTTAATTTATTTAATACTAATTTTTAACATAAAGAGCTACTTGTGGCCCATGGCCCCTGCATTAAACAACACAAATAAGCACGCACCATTGAGAAGAGATTAAACTCTGGAAAACTTCTGAGGTTTGGACTTTTATATAAATACTTTTAAATGTTTGTTTTATTTATGTGTGTCATGTGAGGGAGCATACACATGAGTGCAGGTGCCCACAGAATCAAGAAGAGGGCACTGGATTCCCTAGAGCTGAAGCTACAGGCAGTTGTGAGCAGCTAGGTCTCTGCAAGAGCAGAGTACACTCTTAATTACTGAGCCATCTCTTCAGCTCAAGGCCTTTAGTTCTAGCCTTTGGTTGCTATTCCTTGTAAGAATAGTGATAGACAACACTAATACAGCACCTGTATCTTGTGCCAGGACACCATACTAAATACTTTATAACTAGGTGATCATTAGAATAATCCTACAACATTGGAATCATTATCTTGACTTTATAAGTGAGAAAGCAATGATGTCCCCCCAGGAAAGACAAAACTGATAGAGTCCAAGCTGCAAATCAAACCCAAGGAGTCTTGATGTGATACTCAAATATTTAATCTCTTTGAGCTACATTTCTACCTAAGTTAAACACACAAATATCTCAAGAGTTTATGCACTGTTGTAAAACAAAATCAACCACTTACTATTTTGAACTGCTGGTGATAATCACATAAATTAATCTTACCTTAAAAGTACAGAATACTAAATGATTTTACATTATTACTCTGTCTTTGGGCCTTACACATAACAGAGATAACATAAATTAATAGAGATCACCCATCTGAATATTACTTAGAAATGGCAGAAACTGGCATCTCGTTAGGGACTGATTATTCAGTCAGCCTAAAAGTAGTTACTGAACTCTTCCTGCTTTCTCAAAACTGCAGATAGTGTATCAGTTTGTTTTGCTATGAAACAAAACTCCAAAACTTAGAGGTATAAAACAATAGCCATTTATTTAGCTCACAACTGTATGGTATGGCACAGTGGGCTGGGCTTAACTGAATGGTGCTTCTATTTGGAACTCACTCAATGTGACTACTGTCACCTGGCAGTAGGTCCTAATCTTTTGCCTGGTAGTTGGATTCCTGTTGCTGTGACAGTAGGAAAATTAGCCTAGACTTGTTCACATGGTCACAGGAGCATCAGGAGTGTCAATGATAAGGTCTCCTAGTGTCTACGGCCTGGAACTTGGCCTGGAACTTGAACACACCTATTCACTAGATTCTGCTAGCCAAAGTAAGAGAGAGAAATGGCCTAGGATCAAGAGATGACAAAATCAATTGTTCCCCTTAGCTTGGGTTGGCTTTATGGTCTTCACTAAACACTATGGGCAAATTGTAATCCATTGTATTAAGTAAAACCATAATGCCACAGACCCCTTCTTCATAGAATTTTCAGTGTCAGGTTCATAAAAGAGATTGATACCTTGAACATTTTCTGAAGGTTTGATTTTGTGTCTTTAGAGCCTGAACAAGTGGGGAAGTGGCTTCTACCTCCACTTAAAAGACTGAAGGTGTCTCTACCTGCATATAGGTTCATTGCAAACACACTACTTTTGTTTGCTGTACTGGATTACATATGGACATTTTCATGAATGTTTATAATGTCCTTCATATATGTTTTCATTTCTACCTTTAACATTTTCTGGCATATCTAGAGACAAAGAAAAGCAATCTCTCTCTTATCTAGATGTTCTTGACACTGACTGAATATTAGGGTCATTTGGGATTTAAGACATTAAAGATTTTCCCAGACCTTATCAGACATGAGACAAATGGGACTCTCTGGATGTTTGGACCCTGGCATTAAAATTCTCAGGCACTCCCCAGGCAATCCTGAAGTACAAGCAGTACTGAGACCCAAGCTATCATTCCACTTCCCACAGTGCTGAGCTCATACATGCCTGCTCCTATTCCTTCTCTTGCTCTCTAAGTCAAAACCATCTTCACTGTTTGTACACCAGATGGGTGATGGAGGAGAGGAGCCAGGGCTAGGAAAGACCTTGGGATACAGCTAGTAATCACTTGATAGTATCCACCTACCAGGAGCATCCCCTTGTTGGAAATATGAGTACCCAAAAGAGCTCCCTGTGACAATATTCTCTTAACTTTGAAACAGGTTCTTCTTCCTATCAAATGATGAACTTCTGGAGATCTTGTCAGAGACAAAGGACCCACTTCGTGTGCAGCCACACTTGAAGAAGTGCTTCGAAGGAATTGCCAAGCTGGAGTTCACAGACAATCTGGAAATCTTGGGCATGATCAGCTCAGAAAAAGAAACTGTTCCATTCATACAGACAATCTACCCAGCGAAAGCCAAAGTAATTTCCCTATGTGTTTGAGGGGGAGCTTTTTTCTCCACAGCAGAGAAAACTGGAGGGGGATTCCCTGGGCTAAGTTTTTGGGCTCTAGTTTGGGGTATGGAACATTTGGGTTCCATAACTTAGTAACTAAATCATTATGAAAAGTTACTCCATCTTTCTGGGCGGCAGTTTACCCATCTCCATTATACTGGAGGCCAAGGGATGAAAAAACTGTGGAAAGTTGATGCAGTAACAGGAATCACATTCAGGTGACCTGGTGATGCTTTCAGAGTCCAATCAGACAAAACATAGAATCTGTGAGAAACCTCACACCACCTAACCTGGCTTTTCATATGCACAGCCCTTGGAGAGGGGGATGCAAGATCTCACTTATTTAGCCCTGGCTGGCCTTAAACTTGAGAGCCTCTTATTTCAACTTCCTGGGTGATGAGATTACAGAGGGTGCTGCCACTCTGAGCCATATGTCCTTCCACAATGAGTAAAATTTAAGTGATTTCCAAGCCTGTGGAAAAGAGCAGCACTCGAAGAGGGCATACTGTTCTTGCAGAGAACCCAATTTCAGTGCCTAGCACCCGTCAGTTGACTCACAACTGCCTGAAACTCCAGTTCCAAGGCATGCCATGCTCCTGGTGCCCTCAGGCACCTACACTCACATGTACATATCCACTCACAGACACACGTGCATACAACAAAATAAATGAAATACAAAACTAAAATATAAAAAAGACAAACTTGTTTTATTAAAATAAGGATTTCATTTGCCTCCTAAGGAGCTATTGGCTTGAGAAAAATGACATGAAGGAAATGCGTGTTAAATATCCCCTAGAGGAGACACACTTACTAGACAACTGTTAATAAGCATAAAGCAACCAGTTAAAGAATATTGTCTTGATGGGGCAGCAACTTCCCAGTCCTAAGAGCGATCTGGGCTCCTGCCATGGTCTCTGTCCAGCTTTGATTGACAGTTGCTGCCTCCTACCATTTGTATTTCCCTACAGGGCATGGTGGAAAAGTGGCTGCAGCAGGTGGAGGAGGTGATGCTGGCCAGCATGCGGCAAGTTATTGAAAATGGAATTGAAGCTTATGCCCAGGTAACAGGAATTAGGGTACATGTGCCAGGGCATTGGGGCTGTAAAGCAAACTTTGAGGAGTTGTTTGGATGGATCAGTTTACCTGGACCCTTAGTGTGCTACTGAAATCCACCTCTGAGCCTCTGGCTTCTTTTACCTGTGAATCCTAGGGCAGTGAGCATGTCCTGGGAGAGTTACCTGGTAGAAGCAGGTGATGAAAGAGAAGGGTTACCTAGAGCCCTCTGAGAATGGGGGTGGGATGGCAGTAGAGGCTTTGCTTCCTGTCAAATGGAGCTGATGGCTCCATTTAACTCCTCTTCTGGGTAGTCATTCACTTGGATCACCTGTGAGTGGCATTCTAAGCCCCCAAAGCCTTAATGGAAATAAGTATGTCACAAAAGCTAAAAGAAAATAACCTGTTGTGACAGATCTTAAGCAGCCAGCCTCCAGCCAGGCTCGTGTTGGCAATGTCTGAGTTTTGTCCCCTCTTTACGTGTGTGTCTTACTTCCAGCCCCTACCCCCATGGTAAGACTCCATTTATCAAACAAACATGAGAAACTAATGCCTTTATACAAAAGTTCTCAAGAACAACTTTGCTGTCCCACATGGTAGATTTTGAAATCCAAATAAATCCCATTTTCCATGACAAATTCTGAATCACAGAGCAAGAGTTTGAAGTTAACTCTTGGGAGTTCACGCTTTTTCTATAAAAGGCCAAGTGAACACCCGACCTCCGTGGGCCACACTCTGGCTGTGGTCTCTAACGCTACCTTTACAGTACAAAAGCATCATAGACATATATGTGTATGTGTTGTGATAAAACTGTTTACACCCTCAAGCAGACTTGATCCACAAGGTCTCATGGAGCCCAGACTAGCCTCAAACTCACTGTGCAGCCAAGGACACCCTTGAACTTCTGATCTCTCTGCCTCCAATTCCCATGTGCTGGGGTTATGGGTTTGTACCACCATGCCTGGTTTATGTGGTGCTGGGGATACACCCTGATCTTGAGTTGAGGAGACAAAAGCTAGGGGAAGAGGACTTGGCTAAGAAGGCATGCCACAGCACCACAATACAACAAAGCCACTAAAAAGAGAGGTGTGAGCACATGATCTTGATTATATTTTTTAAAAATTCAGTCTTGAAGCAATGGAATCATGCAGAGTTGAGACTATTTTGTTTTGTTTTTCTTTTGCATGAACTTGAGGGGACAAAGACATGAATCAGTAATCCCAAGCCTGGCATGGTGGCACATTCCTTTAACCGCAGTATTCTGGCAGCAGAGGTAGGCAGAGCTCTGTTAATCTGAGGCCAGCTTTGTCTACACAGTGAGTTCTAGGGCAGTGGGAGAGGATTTTAGTTTTACTATCAGGATAAGGTGTCTGGAGGGGTTATAGAAAGTCAGTTTAAAGCACACATGAAGAACTGATTGATTCTAGAGTAAACCTCACTGCTCTTTCCCAGGTCCCTCGTAAAGCCTGGGTCTTGCAGTGGCCTGGCCAGGTAGTTATCTGTGTCTCCTCCATATTTTGGACCAAGGAGGTGTCTGAAGCCCTAGTTGAAGACACCATGCTGGTAAGTGAGCACACCTTAAAGTTTGCAGAGGAAAGCCAACATGAACTAGGATAGAGTAGCCATTTGGGGTTATTTAGAACAGGAATTGCAGAAGCCAGACTTGCTGGGGAGACAGTAAGTGGGAAATCTGGATTTGGGGCTCTCTTCAGAGCATACACCTAGCCTCACAGTTTCTCTTACATAGAAATTTTGAGCTGCACGATGCTAAGTGTAACTAGCTCTTGGTTGCAGGGGTTACCCAAGAGACTTTCCGACAGTTTGCCCTGGGCCAGGAGACCATGTTTTCCCCTCTCCTTCTGCTACTGCCCCCCCTTCTTTCCAACCCCAATCCAAACTAAGTCCATCACTAGCTCTCCCCTCTTCTTTCTCTGGGAAACCTGGAAACTTCCATCCCTGCATGTCCTCAGATCCAAACATGCATTTTCGAGTTGATAGCAATGCTTTAGAATTCAAGACCTGGTGGATATGACATCTAATCCCAATGCATTTACTTATTGATTGTGTGACCAGGAGCAACTTACTAACCCAAGTGTCAGTCACCTTATCTGTAAAATGCAAGGAACTATAATACCGAATCATGGTGTGATAGAAGGATTAAATAGATTTGAGTGAACCAGTCCAATGCTTATAAATTAAGCTGTGAATCCAATAGGGAAGAGGCCATGTTTGTTCTGTTCACAGTTATGTGGTTTAATGCAATGCTGAACATGTAGTAGGTGCTCAATAAATATATGCTCAATGAATGAATAGCAACTCCACCCATAACCATAGATAATTTCCCATGATTACCTCACCAGACTCCTGATATTTGCCTATGGAATCTGGCTATGAACCAAAACATATTTTAAACTTGCTTAGATATCAAAATTAAAAGATTAGTACCTACCCAAAGTTAAAATTTATGGAAATCAATGTGACTAATGCCAAATACATGAATGTTAAGCTTCACTCATCATCATTCCAAACTTCAGAAATAGAAAATGTTGGGCCTGGAGAGATGACTCAGAGATTAAGAACACTAACTGTTCTTCCAGAGCTCCTGAGTTCAATTCCCAGCAACCACATGGTGGCTCACAACCACCTGTAATGAGATCTTGTGCCCTCTTCTGGGCTGCAGGGATACATGCAGGGAGCCTACTGGATACATAATAAATAAATAAATAAATAAATCTTTAAAAAAAGAACTAGAAAATGTCTGACTTTCATAGCTGCATGTCTGTGCTCCAATTGGTTTGTTTGTTTGTTTGTTTGTTTGTTTTTTAACCTGTAGACATGAGAAAGTTTTTCATCACAAACACACACACACACACACACACACACACACACACACACACACACACACACACTGGATAGTCTTCTACAGGAATCAGGTGCTGTCACAAAATAATCATCGATCTGACTACCCATGTAAGTACCCATTTATCCACTTCTTCATTCATTCACTCATCTTTCATCTATTCATCCCTCTACCTATCCATCTGTGCACCATCCATCCATTTATCTATCCATCCATTCATCCTTCTATTTCATCCTTTCCTCTTTCCCTCCATCTATCCACTATCCACCCACTTAGCTATCTATTCATCCATTCCTCTATCCATTCACTCATCCATATATCTACCCACATAATATCCATTACTTAGTTGTCTATTCCTCAGTCTCTCTACCCATCCACTCATGTATCCACTCATTATTCATTTAATAAATACTGATTTGGCATTTGCTTTGTGCTGAGACTGCTACTAGGCAAAAGTAAGTAAAGGTAAATAAGGTAATCAAACTGTAACTGTTTCCATGGGCTTATGATGAGTCTAGTAAGGGGGATAAATGGCACTGGCTTAGAATGAGAGTAAAGAAGGAGCAGAGATAGAAGAGGTGTGGGAAGAAACAGAGAATCTGAGACGGACTAAGATTGGGGATTATTTCCCATAAAATCATTGTCTAAGAGAGACCTAAACTATGAGTGACAACTGGCCTAGTAGAAAATACAAGACAGATTGTTCCAGAGAGGAAATAAAATGTACAAAGCTTCAAAGATGAAAAGCACAGTAGAACTAGGCTGTAGCTCAGTAGTAGAGCATTTGCCTGAGGTGCACAAGGTCCTGGTTCCATCCCCAGGCCTCGAAAGAGGAAGGAAAGGTGTGGTGCATTGCAGCAATTCTTTTCAACATTTCTTTAATATTTGCACTTTCATTCCACACAAAAGCAGTAGAAATCCAAGTTTTGACAGGTTTATCTGGACAGGACATCTACATCCATCATAAATTTACAACAATATTGCATGATAAATGAACTGGTTAGCTTTGTCTTCTTTTCCAAACCCTTCCACTGCCTCAACTCTGAGTATAGATTGCAATCCTGCCTTGTGCTAAGTACAAACACCAAATTAAAACTAAATAATTGGCATAAAATCCATTAATATTACAATTCAGCTTAACATGTAGGAACATAATTACTTAACATATTGATAAAAGACCAGAAAACAATGGCATTGTTACAATGACATTGGCACTGTGTAAGCCTGAGGATGCTCTATAGCCTATCTGTAAAAAAGACTGACTCTGTCTTAAATCCATAACTAACCCATCAAACTAGCAGTAAGGAGTCTCAGATTCTTGAAGTGTGTCTGTTGTCTGGCTTGGAAGACAACAGCTGAGTGGTGGGCAGGGGAGTCCCAGAGCACTGTGGGGGCATCTCTGTCAACAAGGGCTTTTCAGACAGTGGCTCATGAGCAATAAAAGCATTAGGAGCTCTTTATTTTGACATGTTGGGCACATTATTACTAACAATAGCACCATTATTTGCAGGGTGCCTTATTCATAACAGACATTGTGCCCATGCTTTTCGAACTCTATCTCAACCCTCGGGAGAGCTTTCTGGCTTAGTTGCATCCGTACAGATTTCACACACCTGGAGACTCTGACAGGTTCCAAAGTACACTGCTAGAAAATTGAAATGGTGGAAGCTGAACTCAAGTGGGCTCCCTTTTTCTATTTCTTTCTAAAATCTATTTTTACTTTTTAACCTTTTCATTTTGAAATGTCAGGCTTGTGTACAATGTCACAAAAAAAAAAAAAAACAATACAAAGAATTCTCGTATACCCTTTGTCTAGATTCCCTCAGATATCAACATCAGGTGTAACCAAAATCCAAGGATCCAAATCAGGAAATCGACAATGATCTATTACTGTACAGACCTCTTCACTTTGACAGTTTAATCATTGCCTTATTAAATGTCTAGCCTTTTCCTAGGCCAAGACTCTGCCCAGGGTTACGTGCTGTGTTTTGTTTTACTTTCCCCCCTTCATCTTTTTGTAAGTGAGATATGTCTTCCTATGTAGCTCAGGCTATCCCCTTCTGCCTCAGCTACCCAGGTGCTATGATTCATAGGTAAAGATCAATATCGTGTTCATCTGTTCAGCATGTCCTGTTCCCAGTGTCTCCTTTGATCTGAGAAAGTTTTTTTTTCTCTTTTGCTGATTCAGATTTACTGTACAATTCACATACAGTAAAACTCACCCATTTTAGCACACAGTTCTGTGTTTTGACAAGTGCATGCAAGCAGGTCAACACAGTCATGTGTAAGATGAGGAACAGCTCTTCATCACCCCAAATGCCTTCACCCCTCACAGTCAAGATTCTCTTTACTCGAAGCATCTGCAATTGCACATTTCTGCTCCTAAGGTTTTGTCTTTCCCACGGTGTTACCAAAATAAAACAGGGTAGTGTGGCCTCTTTTTAATTAGCACAAGATTCATCTTGAGGTTGATGTATGGCGTGAGGGAAAGGATGGTTTGAGAGATGGCATCCAGGTCTGGCATGGAGCTTTGGATGTCAGGTGATGTCAACCTTCAAGGTGGGAATTTCTGGAGGAGAATCCACTTAGACTAAATGTTTCTTCCTCTGCCCTGTCCAGGACTTTCTGAAAAAGAGCAATGAGCAGATCTCAGATATTGTCGAGCTGGTGCGGGGGAAGCTGAGCAGTGGGGCGAGGCTCACTCTCGGGGCCCTCACTGTCATCGATGTCCATGGTAAGAATACAGACTCTTGGTGTTGCTCAGTCCAGGAACAGTGGCTAGCTGAGCATGACTTTTGAGTCTCCTGAGTAGGATGCCTCAGGGCATCTCAGTTCAGTTGAGAGTAAGAAGAGCTCTGAGAACACAGTGCCAAAGCCCCTCCCATCACAGCCACTCTCAAAGCAGGGCTCTCATTTCTGAGAGGCACCAGTTTGGTGAATGATTGCCTCATAAGGCATGGCTGATGATGCTGAATATTCAACGGGTGCTTAGCTCGGTACTAAGTGTTTACATTTTCTCATTTCCACAATCATTTCCCAGGTTAAGAACCAGTTGTTAGAGAGGAAAATAACTTGCTGGGAGACACCACATTTGGAAGTGGCAAAGAATCCTCTGCTTCCAAACCCAACGGGCTGGAAATTGGCAGGAGTGCAGGGAGAGGTGGTGTGAGACAATGCCTTTTTGCTCTTCTTTAAACAAAAGAAAACAGAGGAGGAAGATAAGGAGGAAGAAATGGGATCTTTATGTAAAACAAACCACCTCCACATCCTTACTCCATCATCACCAAGGAAACTGGGGCTGGACCAGGCTGGTTGCCTGGGAACAAGATCTTTCTTGCTCACATACCAGCTAACTAGTGTGTCACAGCATCTATTCCCTTAGGACTGGTGCTCATTTCAGTCTGATTTCAAGCAGAGAGATGCCTATAAAATCAGGGAGAGAGGAGGAGGGATGATCTATTCCTCACATGGCCACATACCCACCAGGTAGAGGTGATGAACACAGGCATGATTATGGCCTAGTGTCTTCTTGCATGGCTAGGTTCACAAATACATACATGCATACATACACATACATGCATTTGCACACACACTGCATAGTGAAGACAACTCCAAGCTAGCCCTTCATGCACACCTATAACAGTCCACTCAGAGATCTCAACAGCTTTCATCCGATGAGCACCTAAAAGCCCATTAATGATTTCAACAAGCCTATATTTACTCTGACTTCATGGATCATCACTATAAGTAACTTAGCTTCGAAATCCTATGAGAGGAAGAAGGAAACCAGTAAATGTATTACCCAGCTGGTTCCTGAAGCCAGAAAGAAGGAGACCCCTAACCATAAATTCAGGGGTGCTTTCCCATGCAGTCCTGGGTCCAGATGATGCTAATGTCCTAAGGTATCCTAGAAACCTGGAATGAGGTCCAAAAGGTCATACTGAAGATGTGTGATCATTCAGGGTGACTATATGGCAAAACTTGTGGGTCAGTCCCCCCCTCACCCTCATGAGTTTCAAAATAGTCACATGATGTAATATTTCTATAATATTTTATATGTTAGACAGTTCTCTCTGGTGCTGGCCCTCTCTCACTTTCACTGTGTGTCTGTACACACAGTGTATTTACATTGAGTAATACAGATTGTCCAACCAAGAGACAGAGAAGTTGAGTAACTTTCCCCAAGTCACAAAGCTAATTCATGGTGGAACCAGAATTTGAACCCAATTGTATCGGTTATTTCCCTTGCTGTTAGAACAAAATATCTAGCCAAAGCAACTGAAGAAGGAAGTGTTTATTCTGGCTCACAGTTTGAGGGTTCAGACCAATGTGGCGGGAAAAGTACAGCAGCAGGAATGTGGGGCAGATAGTTACACTACATCCACAGCCAAGAAGCAGAGAGCAGCAAACACTGGCGCTCAGCGAGCAGTTTCCCTTTTGGTGCAGTCCAGGATAAGTGCACCCAGGGAATGATGCCACTCATGTTAGAGTGGGTCCTCTCACTTCAGTTAACCTAACTTAGATAATCCTGTTAGGCATGCCCAGAAGCTTGTCTCTTTAGTGACTCTAGACTCAGTCAAATTACTGGTCAGTATTAAACACTACACCTGATTTCAGAGGGCACATTCAGTGCCTCTACTTCTTGACAGAAGGCATCACAGCCTTCCTTGCCCCTCGGAAAAAGCAAAATCCAGCTCGTGAATGCTACTGCTGCCCTGCAGACCAGAAGTAGGCCAAGAAGATGTTAGAACCTGAAATAGAGTATAGAGACTGAGGACCTGTCTAAGGAGTCTGTGAGGATAGGTAATTCTAATGACACCATCTGTGTATGTCTCTACATGGTGTCCCATTAGCCCGTGATGTGGTGGCCAAGCTGGCGAAGGATCAGGTCAACAGTCTAAATGATTTCCAGTGGATTTCACAGCTGCGGTACTACTGGGAGGGAAAGCACGTTCATGTGCAGATGATAACCACAGAAGCCTTGTATGGCTACGAGTACCTGGGCAACTCCCCTAGGCTGGTGATCACTCCTCTCACAGACCGCTGCTACAGGTAAGCTCTGGAGCCCGGAGCTGAGAGGATGGGAGAGAATTTAGAAGGGAAAGGCACTGGGCAGGTCATGATGTGTCTTGGGTTTGTTGCCTCTGTGTTTCACTCTTACATTGCAGAAGTTTGCCCTTAGTTGTTAACACCAACCACAAATGGAACTGGCTGGGAATGGGAACCCAGTGGGAATCCCAGTATGGACAAGTATATTGGAACTGATTAGCAGAATACTGGTATATGAGTGAGATAGTCAGTGATGCTTAATTAGAAAGCTCACCAACAGCAAAACCTAGTGTGGTACCTGGAGAGCCCACAATCATTGGATAGACTGTGAAGGTCAAGACACAGACAAGCAGGGCTGGGGATGTGGCTCTGAGAGAAAACATTTGACTAGCAAACAGGCAAGGCCCTAAGTTCCATTCCCAGCACTGCAAAAATTAAAACCAATAAGACCCCAGGCAGGGCATCTCAAGGCTCTGCATCCAGTCCAACAGAGAGAAGGAGTTTCTCTTTACTTAGCACAGTGCCTGACCACTTTCCTTACAAATCCTGACATTAGGTCCCTGCATTTTATTAACTTTCCAATGTTGTTATACTCAGATTTTCTGTGTTGTTGCATTTTTTCCTTATATACAAATCTAGATTGTACAAATACTTCAAAGTATTATTCTCTAAGAGTCTTCAAAATTTTCCCATCATGCATTTTCTTTTTATTAGCATATATTAATTATAGAGTACAATGGATTTTGTTAATTTTCAAGCAAGAATATGCTGTATTTACAAGCACTCTGTCTTGTCTCTCCACTGACCCCTCTCCTCTTCCTAAGTAGTCACCTTTTTTTTGTCTTTTTTTCTCCTAAATTCCACACATGGGAGAAAACATGGTTTTGTTTTTCTGAATCTGGCTTATTTTGCTTAACATGATAATCTCCATCTCCATTCATTTTCCTACAATTGAGAAACTTTCTCTCTTATCTAGGACTAAATAAAATTTTATTTTGTTATATATACTGCATTTCTTTATCTATTCGTCTATTGATGAACACCTCTGCTGATTTCTAACTTTGTTCTATAAATAGTATCACAATAAACATGGATGTACAAATATCTCTGAGGTTCACTGGCTTCAATTCCTTCAGGTATACCTAGCAGTGCTATAGCTCAATGATACAGTAGTACTTTTTCCAGTTTTTTTGAGGATCCTTTCTTCTTATTTCCAGAGTGCTGCACAGATTTAGCATTTCCTACCAATAGTGTACAAATGTTAAATCCCCCACTCTTCCACACTTGTCCTTGCCAGCATGTGTTATTGTTTGGTTTCTTGAAGACAGCCATTCTGACTTGAGTGAGTTTGGGCTTCCTTAATGACTAAAGGCTCTGATCCCATCCCCCTTTTATTTGACATTTGTACCTCTTTTCAGAACTGTCCAGTCTATTCAGTTGCCTATTTATTAGCAAGTCATTGTTTTCTGATTTTAATTCATCATTCATTTGTTCTGTTCATTATCCAGCAATTTCCTTTTAGAAATACAATCTATTGCACAGTCTTCAGATCTTCAGCATGATATTATAAATGACACACAGAGCAGAGTGATTATGACAGTAGAACAAATGTCCGTCATCTGACATAACCATCCATGCTCCCCTGTGCTGGGAGCAGTTATAATCTACTTATTCATCAAAAGTCCTGACTGCCATACACTATTATTAACTATGGCCATGAAGAACAGTCATGTCCTGAATGTGCCTGTGCAGCATGAATGACATCAGCCAACCCTAAATCTAATTAGAGCTGTGGAGACAAGTTCAGAAAATAACAAGTTATTATGTCTCTGAAGTTACACTTATCTCAAGGACTTTGGGACCAGTATGCACATCATTCATTTGTAACATCTGCCTTGCACCTGCCAGTGTTCTTTCACTGAGGGTATGAATTAAATTAAGATGTGGTTCCTAAGCTCAGGTCATACTCCAATGGGATACATGTGTTTGTTGTCTCCATTCCATCAGTGTTGGTGAGCTTTGGAATGTAGGATTGGAGCAGTTTTCATCTCTATTTGGTTCATTTAGATCCACCCAAGCATCCCACTATCCATTCACTATCCATTCAGTCATTCTTTCAGGCAACTGCGAATAAGTGGCCTCTGCCATGCACCAAGTGCTATACTAGGCTCTGAAATTACAATGCCGAGTAAGACTGATTTTCTACAATGATGATTTATTGATCATATAATTGAAGGGGACATCTATTTGCAGAATTCAAAATAAACAAAACCCAGGATTGTATCTCAGGATTTGCACACTGAGTTTCTGTCTTGTTTTGTTTTTCCTTTTAGGACTCTAATGGGAGCATTGAAGTTGAACCTTGGAGGTGCTCCAGAGGGTCCAGCAGGGACAGGCAAGACAGAGACTACCAAAGATCTGGCTAAAGCTTTGGCCAAACAGGTATGGGAGTGCCACCAATCTCTACCCTCTCTTTCTACCTCTCTGGATCCCAGGAACAAAGAAGTTCAAGACAATTTAGCCTAATGGGCAAAGTGGGACCCCAGTGCATTTGGTAGAATGAGTGAGGAGCCTTGCTCCTGGCTTATGTTTCTGATTACTCAGCTATGAGGAAATTTATCTGGAATCCTCCCTCTTTGTAGTGTGTGGTCTTCAACTGCTCTGACGGTTTGGATTACAAAGCCATGGGGAAGTTCTTCAAGGGGCTGGCCCAAGCTGGAGCATGGGCCTGTTTTGATGAATTCAATAGGATTGAGGTAACTCTCCTTCTAGGGGATATAACTAAGCGGTCGGACATGGAGGGGCTTTTTTTCTGAGTTCTCAACTCTTAGAGTGTGTTTTCTCTAAGGCCCTTGCATGGAGTAGGTACTTATATACTAAACATAAATAGTTGCACAGAGAAAGCATGTGTACTTTAAACACACCCAATCTCCCTATCATATTCATCCATTCATTGATTCCTTCAGAAGTTAATTTAGGGCAGCTAGTATGTGTCAGTAACTGCATAAGTTCATGGGGCAAAGATTCATAAGAGATGATCTCTTAAATGGTTGCAACTCAAATAAAAATTAAACAAGCAGAATGTGATAGAAGTCTACAGTAGAGATAAAATATTTAAAAAGACACATAACCAAAAAGCATGTGATTGATTCTATTTAGATAGAGTTGAAATCAGAAATAAAAGCATGCGATTTGAACTGGTGGACAGTGAATGCCTCTTAGGTGTCAAGCTAAGATAAAGTGCTGTGGAAATATCTTGCCCACATACACCACACCACACATACACATGACCATACACAAGCACATATTGCTTTCCTTTTCTTTGCCAAAGCCCCAAATCATGCTCCCCATTTTGAGCATAAAGGCCTAGTTCTCAAGTAGCTGAGGTCCTTCCTTGCTGAGTGAGAGGGGATGCTGGCTGAGCACATCTCAGCTGGGCATTATCTCTGCAGGTGGAAGTACTGTCAGTGGTAGCCCAGCAGATTCTCAGCATCCAACAAGCCATTATCCGGAAACTGAAGATGTTCATCTTTGAAGGCACTGAGCTTTCACTGAACCCAACCTGTGCCGTCTTCATCACCATGAACCCTGGATATGCTGGCAGGGCTGAGCTGCCAGATAACCTCAAGGTAAGTGTTGATATTGATCTATGTAGCATAGATGTATTTATAGTGTAGAAGCTTCTAGAAGTATACTCCTAAATACTCATTGATAGCCCGATAGTAGAAATAGCTAATATTTCCAGTGATAAGATATTTGGTCCAGGAACATCTCCCCATCAAGGTCTTACAGTAAGGAAGGACAGATAAATAAAGCTAAATGACAATAAATAGCAGTGAAGGTAGAATAAGAGTCAAATGTTTCAGTTATCTATAGAGATCAGACAGCTGATATAAACAGAAGTCAGCTCGGCATGGTAGAGAGTGGTGAATGCTAAGGCAACATAAATCTCTTATATCCAACCTAATATTGCCAAGAAGGAGTTGTTGCATTTCATTGTTTTCTTCCAGGGGAGGATAGAAAATTTAGCACCCTTACATGAAGTAATCTAATTTTTACATCTTGGCTTATGGCAAAAAGACAATTACTAAGGGTCATACAAAGATCATCTACTTATGAAAGAACACCAAATTTCAGTGTAGAGAACTCTTTGTCAAACCTAAAAAGAACCATATTGATCAACCTCCTTTATTATTAACCTGGTAAGGCCCAAGTCATTTCCTTTCTAAAACATACTGTTTTGTCCCACTAGAGAAAAAGCAAGAGTATGTGTCCTCAGCAGCTCTTGTTGATCTGGCCTGAGCTACAACCACTGTAACATCCACAGGCCCTACTGCTAGTGGAAGGAAAGTGACTCAGAAATGGAAGAAAGACAAATAGGCTCTCTTCAGTGAAAGGCGACCCTACATGACCTTGAGATGCTGTTTTCATGGAAGCACAAATCCAAAGGATATAAGATGTTTAGGTCTTCTATGGAAAGAACGTCTGCCACTCAGTTGCTTAAAAAGAGTGACCAGAGGGCTATATTGATGGCTCAGCCATTAAAGGCTAGACTCACAACCAAAAAGCATGACCAGAGAGACTTCTAAACCTGCTTCTTTATGGATTTCTCCACCCCCTTAGGGAAAAATGATAATAGAGAGATGGCCACACCCTCATCACCGACTTTAGTACCTGTTGCTCTACCGGCTAGAAATACACTGTGATTAGTATCCAGGCAATCTTGTTCAGATAGACCACTTTTCTCTCAGGGTAGAAAATGGGCAAGAAGATCTTTCAAGTGCTCCTCCTCTGTAGGTTGATGTCCTTTTGCTTTCTTTTTGCTGCAATAAAACATTGACCAAAGCAACTTGGAGGAGTATGGTGGTTTGGAAGAAAATGGCCTCCAAAGGGTGTGGCACTATGAGGAGGTCTAGCCTTACTGAAGTAGGTGTGGCCTTGTTGGAGGAAATGTGTTGCTGTGGAGGCAGGCTTTAAGGTTTCGTATATACTCAAGCCACGCCCAGTGAGACAGACCACTTCCTGTTGCAAGTCAAGATGTAAGAACTCTCATCTCCTTCTCTAGCACCATGTCTGCCTGCATACTGCCTTGCTTCCTGCCATAATGATGATGGATTATACCTCTGAACTGTAAGTTAGCCACTATAATTAAATGTTTTTCCTTTGTAAGAGTTGCCATGGCCATGGTGTCTCTTCACAGTGATTGAAGCCCTAACTAAGATAGATAGGAAAGGACTTATTTACCTTATACATAAAAATCATGGTCTTTATTTGAGGGAAGTCAGGGCAAAATTTTAAGCTAGAACCTAGGGGCAGAAACCATATGAGGAATCCTACTTACTGGCCTTCCTGACTTACTCAGATACCTTTCTTTTATATGTCAGGCTAAAGAAGGTACTCTCATTGTGAGCTGGGCCCTTCCATATCAATCAGAAATCAAGAAAATGCCTTCAGACACATGCCCATAGGCCAATTTTTAAATATAGGCAATTTTTAAATTGAGATCCCCTCTACAAAGAGCTGTCTAGGTTAATTGACATAGGCTAGTGAGTGTCAAACTTGAATTTGGACTCCCACGTCACTTTTTTATAACCCAGTTGTTGTAACCACTCTTTGAACTCGCCCTAGCCAATAGTCATGTTAAAGCTGTACTCGAGGCTCTCATGAGACAGACATTACAGGAAGTAGGAAGCAATGGTGTGAGGAAACCCATGTTAGTCTTGGCTCTCCAGCTAGCTAACTGTAAAAGTGAGGCAAGTCCCTTCTCCTCTAAATTCTAATTCTGTTGCTCATTGATTACTAACTATGGGTGTCTTAGTTAGGGTTTCTATCCTTGTGAAGAGACACCATGACCATGGCAACTCTTATAGAAGGAAACATTTAATTGTGGTGGCTCACTTACAGTAGATTCAAGGTTTCATCAGTTATCAACATGGCAGGAAGCAAAGTGGCATGCAGGCAGACATGGTGCTGGAGAAGGAACTAAGAGTTCTTACATCTTGATCAGCAGGTAACAGGAAGTAAACTGAGATACTGGGCATGGCTTGAGCTATGTAGGAGACCTTAAATGCTGCTTCCACAGTAACACACTTCCTAGAACAGGACTACATCTACTCCAACAAGACCACACCTCCTAATAATGCCACTCCCTTTGGAGACCATTTTCTTTCAAACCATCACAATGGGCCACATTTGTTTGTGAACATTTCACTAATATTGGATCATTTGTTCTCAGGGTATTTCTACAAAGGGCTAAAGCTACTAGTTCATTTTGATGAAAAAGTACTGAAGTTTCAGATTATGTACCTTTCCCATGCAGGCAGACATGGTGCTAGAGAACCAGGAATCAGATCTGCTCTTGCCTGATTTCAGAATTCTCATGTTGCATACTGGTCTTGCATTCCTAAATGGCATCTGCTGTCCTACTGAATCCTGGAAAGTTGAGTGATGCTATAAGATGTCCTCATTTGACACAGAGTGAAGTATTGTAAAACCAGCTTCTAGAACCTTCCATGCAGCTCTGAGCGACCCAATGTGATAGCATGTAACTTAGGCAAAGTCAGTCTGCACTAACTTGTCCTCTGGCCCTCCTTCCCTTGGTTGTCAGTGGGTTGACTGGATGATCACATGACTTTTCTTTGTCTCTGTAGATGTGCCTCCTCTAAGTATTCATTTTGTGTGCTTGGGCTCTAATTTGTTATTTCTTTTCCAGGCCTTGTTCCGAACAGTGGCCATGATGGTACCAGATTACGCTCTCATTGGAGAAATCTCCCTCTATTCTATGGGCTTTCTGGACTCCAGGAGGTATGTTACATTTGTTTTCCAGTGTGTCCTAGATGCCTTTAAAGAGAAACTTCTTTGTGAAGTAGATTCAAGGTAGATCATTGGGAAGAAAGAATAAAAACTCAAGAAACTTTATTTTAGCTGATTTGAGAACATGTAGCCCTGACTTTGGTCCTGGCCCCATTCCTGACTGAGATACGGCCCAGATACCCCTGAAAGGAGCTCTTCTCTGCTCTATACATCCAGACACTGTAAAAACTGTAGCCACTCATATCCTTCCCACCCCTCACAGTTACACATCTAACCCCATATTACTAATGGCTTAAAACAATATAACACATGAAATGATTCCAAAGATGCCAAGAAAAATATAGTGTCACTTAATGAATTTGACAATTTAGTTAAATTGTTAGCAATATGACATTTATTTACTCCAATTAATGGTGTTATTTGTGATTCAAGCATATCCCAGTTTTCCAAAAACACACAATGATTGATGTCTTTATGTATGATAGCATATACTCACAGCAGCACACACACAAAGAATTGGGAATCATCATTGCAAAATGTCTTATATTGACCCAGTCCAAATTTTACATTTTTTGTTTTTGTGTTTTTTTGTTGTTTTGTTTTGTTGTTGTCATTCCTGTAATCAATAGATTTCGTTGTTGCAATAAATATCTCTTCAGGGGAGTGTATATGTGTTCCTTATTTGTAACCTAAGAGAAAATTTCATAAAACTTATATCACCCTTCCTTGGCAAGAGGCTTCCTCTGAACTACAGAGTTATTTTTTCCCTAACTGTAAACCTGGATCACATTGGTTTGACTACTCAGTTCACCATCTGCCTAATGCTAAGCCTTGTGCTAAAGTGTGAACAACATGAGTCTCTGTTTTTAAGACTGAATCCATTTTCTAACGGGAATCATTACAAGAGCAATGTGCCTAATTGTATTAGTTAGGGCAACCCTGATGCTCTAATCCCAATGGTACAGCATGACAAATGTTTTCTTTACACTCACTCAAAATGCCAAATGGATAGTTCTAGTCAGGAGATTGTCCCTTAGTGGATGGGTCAGGAAACTGGAATACTTACACATGGCTACAACATATGGCATGGGATATCTCATGGAGGAGGGTTTTATGGGCCAGCCTGGATCTGACATATATCATGACTTATATCACTTGTTCACCCAGCACTCTAGCTATATGCAGTCTAAGAAATGTGGGTCTCAGCCTTGTGTCCAGAAAGACTAAGAAATAGACATGCATGCACGTTTGTGCATAATATGATGTGTATATTACACTTTTGAATTAGCTTTCTTGAATTAAAAATCAAACCAGGTATCACACAATATTGTAATGTCACAGAAGTGGAAAAGGTAATTTTCCCCCAGTAAACCTTACTTTTACTCTTCAGGGAGTGACACTGTTAATAGTTTAATGCATTATTTCAAACTTGTGTGTGCCTGCATGAGTACACATGCATTCATACACACACGAAGCATATAATGTGACTTCACTTAGAGTGTATGTTGGATATATCTGCTTGCTTGCTTTCATCCTATCTTTGAAAGAGAGTTGTAGAGAGTTGTGTTTCCTTAGTTAGCTATGCTGGCTTTGGTAAGAAGACTTGCTCACTAAGCCCACGGGCAAGCCTAGTTTCTGAAGGGGCTGCAATGAGGACTGAAGACATGTCTTTGCCCTTGTACAGTCTTGCCCAGAAGATTGTCGCCACCTACCGCCTGTGCTCTGAGCAACTCTCATCCCAGCATCACTATGACTATGGCATGCGGGCTGTCAAGTCTGTGCTCACAGCTGCAGGCAATCTGAAACTTAAGTACCCTGAGGAAAATGAAAGTGTTTTGCTGCTCCGGGCCTTGCTGGATGTCAACCTGGCCAAGTTCTTGGCTCAAGATGTCCCCCTGTTTCAGGTACTCAAGCTCAACTTCGAATGAAATATTTTCATCTGCATCTTCCCACATCTGCCACCTCTTGCAACCTTTCTTTCCAGCCATCCTACTTGAGAGAGAGAGAGAGAGAGAGAGAGAGAGAGAGAGAGAGAGAGAGAGAGGGGGGGGGGGGAGGGGGGGGAGGAGAGGAGGGGAGGA